TATTATAATTTATGATAAATATATTGAAATTAATATATTTGATTTAAATTTTCAATTAAAATATATCATTTTATTTTAAACTTATAAATATATTATAATATATTATATGATACATATATATATGTATATCAAATAAATCTACTATTATATTATGATATTTTAACAAAAATAATTTTAGAAAAATAAGTAAAGAATATTATATATTTTTTTATCAGAATTAATTAAAATTATTGAAATTAATATAATAGCCAAATTGAATACTGCAAAATAAACACATCTCAAATGGAATTGAAAAAATATAAAAGGAAAGATTAGAATTAATTTCTAAACTTTAACTAAATAAATATGGCGTTTTCATGATGGATTGACATGACAATACAAGTGACTAGTTGTTGGTTCAAATATATAAAGTATTTGATATATATTTATACATATTAATTAAACTATTCGTAATGCGCAAGTCGCTTAATAAATATACAATTTGTGTTATTACTGTGTCCTTACTGTATAGATGGACGATTATTTCAATAAGTAGGACACTTTTGACAGAAATACAATACTTGGTTAGTTAAAACCTAAAAAGAAAGAATATTTTATTTTTGCGATTATTAATAATATGAAAGATTCCAAAAAGAAAGGATGCGTAAATTTAAGAGTTTGTGATAAATATAAAAATAAATAAAATATAACCTGTAAAAATGAGCTGGTTACGAAGTAGTCCTTTAAGAACTAGTTTTAGTAAGCAACGTTCAAGAGACTCTCCACCAAAAGATGCTGATCCATCAGCATGTTATGACAGCTTTTGTAAACATTGGCAACAAGCATATGAAATCATATTACGAACATCTGTAAGTTTAATTTTTAAAAAAAATTAAAAAATTTTTAAAACTTTCTTAAAACTTAATATGTTTAAATATTATTAAAAATAATTTTAAAAATAATGTAAATATAAAAAATTTCAATTAATATTGTATTTAATTATATTAATTATTTTTTCATAGCCACCTAAAGGAATATGTAATCAAGATGATGTTCTTGGAGTTGTTAATCATGTAGATCAAATGGCAACACTTTTAGTTTTAGAATTACGTGATTTTAACTTTTACAATAACTATCGACAATCTACAACAGCAACACACTCTCCTTGTTTAGAATATTTATTAAGTGAAAATCTCCTTGTTAAGCTTTATGATTGGAATAAATATAATGGAAGGTAGACACTTTTTTTTAAAACTAATAACAATAAATTTAAGATTTAATGTTATATAGTAATAATTAATTATTAAATTTTATTAGATAGAATAATATTTATTTCATATTATATGTTATTATAAAAAAAATGTTGCAGATTTAATAATGCCGTTTGTTTGGAACAATTAAAATTATATGAACTTTTAGTATCACATAGTGGTACTCTTCTTGCCCATGAACCAGTTGCCAGACCATTGTTACGATTACTTGAAGATTGTGCAAATGATATTATACTATTAGAAGAAAAATTAGTAGTGTTATTAAATCAATTATGTGTTGCTTTAATGCAAAACATGGCATTACTTGATTTATTTTTTCATGCAACAGCAGTAGGAAAAAGCAAGTTAGTAGAATATATGTATATTCATATGTTATATCTTATATAAAATGAACTATATAAAATATTATAAATTAAATAGTTCATAGGTATTATCATTTTTATTATCAAGAATATTTCTTTTATTTTCTTTTATTTATTAAAATTTTTTGGTCCCAAAGAATATATCTCATTTCTTTTCTTCAAAAGTTTATTATTATCTAGATAGATAATCTAAATAATTTTTTTATGAACTATTTAATTTTAAGTGAAATGAATTTTAATCAATTTTGAATGAATGAAAATCATTAATATTTGTAGTTATTTTGAAACAAAATTTGTGACACTTTATGTAAATTATCTTGTATATTTTTATATTGTATAATAACTGAATTTTTTTTAAATTTTTTCAGGTTTATTATTTTTACATTACTGATACCATATGTACATCGAGAAGGTGCAGTAGGACAGCAAGCACGCGATTCCATGTTACTTTGTATGTCTCTTTCTAAAAAAAATGATGACGTTGGTGTGTTTATTGCTGATCATTCTAATATATGTCCTGTATGTAATTTTTTTAAAAAATTAAATTTATGTAAAGAAAGAAAGCAATAATAATAATAATAATAATAATAATAATAATAAAATAAATATTTACATAAATATAACATACAATTATTATATATTTATTCAATTATATTTTTATGTACTTAAGTTATTAATAAAATTTTATTCTTAATAATTAGGTATTAGCTACAGGTTTAAGTGGGCTGTATTCATTGCTACCAAGAAAATTAGATATTGAAACAGATGATTGGTATCAATTAACACCAGATGATGTTAATGATTTACCAGCATTAATGCACTTAATGAATTCATTGGATTTTTGCAATGCTGTCGCACAAGTTGCACATCCTTTAGTACAAAAACAGTTATTAGAATTTTTATATCATGGTTTTTTGTTACCTGTGATGGGGCCAGCTTTGTTACAGGTGAGTACAATATAGATATATTACTTATAATTTTTTTGTGACAAAAATATTTGCTTATATTTTAATTCATATAAAGTACATCATTTTACATATGATATATAAATTATATGTAATATTAAATTTAAATATATATATTTATTTTATAATTATAACTAATAATTATCAAATAATTTTACTTAATAAATTATAATGTTTTTGTCATTTTACATGTATATGTGGTGAAAGAAGGTATTTACATCATGTTTATTTAAAAATAAATTCATAGTGTGGTTAGTAAATTGTTATTATTAAATATATATAAATACAATATTTTCTATTTCATAAATTAATTTTTTTTTGTTATATGTTGTATATGTAATTTTTTTAATGTTATATGTATTACTTAATAATATATTATACATAATGTATACATAATGTTATATAATAAGCTATTGACATAACTTATCTTTGAATTTTATACAATTTCATGATAATTTTAGTTATTTCATTTTATTCTCTTTTTTTACTTAATTATTTAAGAATATCAAATACATAATAATTGGTAAATGTTATATTGAATTATATGCAGAATTTATTAATTATTTTTATTTAATAGATTTTTATAGGTTCATATGATGTGTTATTAAATGCATATAGCATTTTCAATATGGTGATGGTAAATGTAAACATTAATACCTACTAATTAAGTATTAATAATAAAGCTAATAAAGTTCGAATCATTTATGTTGTGATATGCTTGTTGGTGGCTATCCGGTGACATTTTTATGGTGCTCAGGATTCTATTGGTTTGACCATAAAACAACTAGATGCACAAGAATATCGGGTTAGTACAAAACACTATAATTAGTGCAGCAAATTTTCAATAAAGTATAAATCTCTTAGCTAATATTAACTTTTTATTATAATATAAATTCTCATTGCAATATATTTTCTATAATAAAATATGTATATATTATTTTAATAATCTTAATAATATTTTAACATAATTTTCTTAATGTTGTTTATTAATGCAAATAAATATTAATTAAATATTGCATAATATTAATATTTTTTTGATAATATTAATTTGTTATATAATAATAATAATATTAGTATAAACATAATAATAAAATATAAACATAATAATAATAATACAAGCTTAAGATTTACTAAAATACTATTCTTTAATGCTAATTAAAGCTTTTATGAATAACTTATAAACCACATAAATTTTATTAAGAAATATATTTAAAATCTTATATTTATTGATTTTGCATGACACATTAGTATATGTTTGTTATAAAAAAATTTTATTTTCTATATGAATTTTTGAATATATTATTTTATTATTTTATATTATTTATTATATATTATTTTTTTAAAATAATATTATTTCATTACTATATCATTATTATAATTGCATTAAATTATTATTAATGCAATTTTTAAAATATTATATTATATTAATTACATTTTTTTTTTAATTTTAATGTATTTAATTTTATGCCTTTATTATAATATATGCCTTATTTATAATAATTTCATGTCCTTTTTTAAATCTCTATTTATAAAAATATGTGGTTTATAAGTTAGAAATTCAATTTTTCATATAATTTTAATATATTTATTTAAATTTTTATAACTATAATATTTTTTTTCTTTTATTATGTCTTTATGTAAAAAATTATTAATCATTATCAAGAATTATTTTGTACAATGGAGTTGCTTTTATTTATGTGTGTATAAGTTATAATTTTTAACATTTGTAATACAATTGAAATATGCATATAATATTTATTAATACCATATTAATTAAGAATAATTTTTTATTATCTGATTAAATAATTAAAAAATTTTGTATGTATTTTTGTACTTATTTTTGAATGAATATAAATTAATTATATATACCTTTTATATAAATAATTTTTAAATAGGTTAAATAATTAAAATTAACTTATTAAATTTTATTATTTTTAATAAAATTATTTCTTATTTATTTTATATTATAAAATTGTAAGAATTAATTATTATATTTGTTAATAAGTATTTATTATTTATTTATTATATTTATTTAAGCATTCATAAAATTAATTATACTTCTTGAATTATATGCAGAATTTATTAATTATTTTTATTTAATAGATTTTTATAGGTTCAATCAAATTTTATATCAAATATTATTTTGAAATTATTTTATATTAATAATTAAATTTAATGTATTTATTTTTAACTAAATTAATTTGCTATTGACATGTTTGTGTTTGTGAATACTAATATCCTTCTTTTACCACAAAATAAAATTTTAATATTAAATTGCAAACATATTAAATATAATTCTAGACATTCTGTTAATAATTATTTATCTTTATATATTTTTAATTGTAATTGTGCAGTAAAATGTAATTTACATATTTTTGAAAAATTATTATATATTTTTTTATTTTATTCAAATTATCACATAACATATATATAAAATTATAGGTAAGTAATTTTAACTAACTAAGTAACTAATATTACAGACAACAGTGGATGAATTAGTTGCAGCAACAGCGTATTTTGATCTATTTCTTCGTTCTGTAACTGAACCTGGTCTTTTACGTTCATTTGTTAGATTTTTGCTTGAAGATAATTATGATGAATGTAGAATATTGGATAGTCTCATTCAAAGGATATCTTCTAGATCACGGGTATATTTTTTATATTTATTATTTGTATCATAAGAAATAACAATATTATTTCTTACTTAAATATAATTTGTAATAAAAAATCATTTTCATTTTCTTTTTTAGTTATGTATAGTAACATTGGGATTGTTTGAAACTTTAATCAATTTAAACTGTGAAGACATCATGCTAGAATTATGTCTAGGTGCATTGAACCCTTGTTCTCATGTAATGCTTTCTCAACGTAGAAGATTAAGAGATATAGATCCTTTTGGACGTGCAGCTGAAAAGTTTCTCTCTTTAACTCCAAGTTGCTGTTCTCCACATATAAATATAAATTCTATAAATTCTCAATTCAGTTCTTTACCTAATAATACAACATATGAAAAACAATCAAATGCTACATCTGAATCATTGAAATCATTACCAACATCCATAAATTATGGTGTCAGATTATCAGATAGTCTTTATGGAAATTATCATGCATATTTATGTGATGCTCGTCAAAAAATAAGAGCTTGCCGAATCGCTTGTTCTAATTGGTCGTATCAATATAATGGAGAATTACCAAAAGATAGTATTAACAGTAGTGCCACTACTTTAATAGATGACAATACATTATTAGATCAATTTCAAAAAAAAACAGAAAGTAGTAAAGTATCATTAGAGACATTAAAATTATCAACACCTTCTAATGAAATTAATGAAAACTCATCAATAGATAATATGTTAATTAATATTCAATCTTTGTTAAATGGAAAGGATCTAAATACAGTAGAAAAAGATATAAAAATAGAGCCTCTTATAACAACAGGTATAGAGTTATCATTAGAAGAACAAGCAAAATTGGATGCAGATATTGCTGAATTATTAAATGAAGATACTGGAATATCAGAATGTGTTAAGGAGATGTTATTGATAGATAAAAAGGAACTTGATAGTGGCATTGATGATTCAAATACAACCATGAATTCGCTTTTATCGTTAGGAGAAAGTAGTGGATATGAAAGCTTTGCATTCAAAGGCTCATCGCAATCAACTCCAGATAATGAATCTAACGAAGATCGAATAAGCGAACACGAAGAAATTGATTCAAACAAAGAACAAAATATATTTCTTCATAGTATCATAGAATCAAGTTCAATCATACCAGAAGAATTAACAGCAAATAAACAAAATAAAGAAAATTATCGACAAGATGTATTTAATGGGCAACCGAATGTTGGTATATTTTTGGATGTTCTTTTAAGAAAACTTGAATGCATGACAAGTAATAATTTATATGTTAATTTACATTTAACTGGTCTTATCAGCAGATTAGCAATATATCCACAACCTTTATTGCAATCTTTTCTTTTAAATCATTCTCTGGTATTTCAACCTAGTATTAGATCACTTTTTCAGGTTTGTAATTACAAGCATATCTTTATTATTTATGTGCTTTATAATATATAATATACAAGTTTATAAAAAAAATTTAAATTCCATTAGGTACTTGCATCTTTAAAACATAAAATAGATCAATTTCTTTCGCAACACAATAATGTGGATATATTAGTTGAACAAGCGCGACTGTTTTTAATTAATCGCGAAGATAAATTAGTGAATGCAAGAAGAAACGCGTTAGAAGCCGCTGCTCATTCTGTACCTATTAAAAGAAATTCTTTAAATGGAGAACCATTTTCAAGAGGTATGATTTATTTTTTAATTATTCAAAATATGGACTAGTGATTATTATTCCCTTATATCTCATTAATATGTGTATACAAGTTAATATTAAATTATTACTTATAATTTTCGTGCAATCTGGAAGTATTCAAAAGATGTATGTATAGTAATTATTTATAATATATATTAAAAATAATATTTATAAATTATATTTGAAGAAATTATACTTTTAGGTGAAACTAAAAGATGGAGTTTAACATCATCTTTTACACAAATGCTTAGACGATCAAGTGGTAGTTCTGGTCCAAGTAGTTTAGTTAATACTATCAATCAATCAACTGGTATATCAGAAAATCAACTAGAAGTTATTGGGCATGGTTCTGGATATCGGTAAATATTTTTTTTATGCTTTAATATTCAGATTAAATAAAGTTATGAAAAATATAATAATACTATACAATTTTTTATTCATTAGATATTATACGAAAACGTCCTGGCAATCCCCAAATGAAATAAGTCCAGTACAAAATGTGGTCTTATGTGCAGTTGTATTAGATGAATGGCTAAAAGAATTAGCCGCTATTACACAAGAACATGCAATTATATCTCTTACAAATAGTATGGAGTTTAAAGTTTAATATGTAAGATAATTGAATACATACAAATTAAAATTCAATTAATAATAGAATAATTATACAAAATATTCTTTCCTTCTTACAGGGTTTTAATAAGTAATATGTGATATATTGTTAGATTTATATATAATAAACCCTATTATAGCGTTATATACAAAATATTTATGTGAAGTTATTGAAAAGAATACAACGATCTTATATGGAATATAGCTACAATCATAAAAATAATATTTTTATTTTGCAATTATAAATAGACATATTAAAGAATTAATTTTGAAAATTATAGATTTATATTTTTGTTGATATTATTTAGACATTAACTACTTTTAAAATTATTGAAAAAAAAAATACAAAAAAACTTTTATTTAGTTATTTAAATGCTTCTAAAATACTAATTAATATTTAAATAATATTGACGGAATTTCATTGTAAAGAATGATTTAGAGCAATTTCCTATATATATATAAATTAATTTACACATATTACATTATTAAACTATATAATAATTTTTTAGTACATATATAATAAACTAATCAATTTATTTAAAATTATATGTAAATATATAATTCAACATCAATAGTTCAAAGATTCATCATAAATAGTTCAAAAGAATATAATTAAACACAAGAAAGTGCCAACTCATTATTTTAATATATTATATAATATAATCAGTACTTTAGAAATTGTTCCAAATGTTTTTCCAAAATTTAATAATCAAATTATTACGATAATTTTGTTTTAAAAATGAAAATTATAAATGAATATTTATTCATTTTACGTTACCTAACAATGCATAATGTATGATAATTACATAGCTTGTTTTTATTGTACTTAATTTAATATATGATTATAATGTTATGTAATTATTATAGATTAATTTCTATAAATATGATTTAAAAATTCAATAGCATAAAATATAAATGATATATATAAATGACATCTCAAATTATGAATTTTTAAAATGATTGTTAAAATTGTAAATCTGAAGTTGACTGAAAATAACAATGCAGATGTTTTATAATACTTTTGTCCCATATTTTCACTTTTACTATTGTAATATTATAAAAAATATTTTATTATGCAGTTTTTTATTGAAAGTATACAATTGCCAAATTTTTACAATATTTGAAATAAAACTGCTTATTTTAATAACCAAAGACAAATCAACAATTGCCAATAATGCAATATATTGCACAATCATAAAATATTTGTTTATATATAACATATCAAAATTTAATTATTTATATGAATATTATCTTAGTTCAATTTTTATTAACAAATATTTTTTACTTTAAATTAATGTTAGCACATTATAGTTATTAAGAAACAATTAATAACATAAAGGAAGTGTGCATCATAAAATATGAACATTGAAAAAAATATAAATGTATATTTAGAACGTTTTAAAACTTTTTATTCAATAAGGATATATTTGCTGCATTGTGATATATGAAATTAGATTTATTAAAAATTATTTTTATTAAAATATTTTAATTTTTTTGTCAAATATTGAAATATATATTAATATAACTAAGAATTATTAACAATTTTATATCAATATAATAATGTGTGCTTTTGAAATGTTTGAATATAATGCATGTTGTAATATACAAAATAATATTATTTTGTATAATTTTGTTTAAATAATATTAAATTTGTAAAATTTTAATATTATAGTATAACAAATAATTTACGAAATTTATTTATATAATAAAAATTTAATATTTTTTATAAAAAAATATTTTAATATAATTATATTTTTTATTTTTCTATCGGTGTACTTAATGTATTTTTATTAAAAACATGCAATATTTTCAAACAAAATTATATATACTTGCCAATTTATATTATATTAATAATATAATTTAATATTCAATATTATTTCATTATTTTCTTTATTGTTATGTTTAAGTTTTTAAATAAACTTATATAATGAAGTAATAGAATCAAAATTCAAAAATTTTAATAATTTAGAATTGCTTATATATTTCAGCATAATTTTTATTTTAATATAATAATTTTTCTTTTGTGATAATTTTTGCATTTTTAATTATATTATCTATTTTGCTAAAAAAAGTATTTTATAAAAATAATTAAATTTTAAAAAAAATAATTTTAAAATTATTGAATTTTATAATTATTTTATAAATTAAGAAATAATAAATTTGAATTTATATTTTTGCATTTGTTTAATTCTGAAAATATATTGTATTTTGTTAAAATAATGTTATATTTGTTGTAATAAATTATATAATTTACAAATTATAATAAAGTTGTCCTTATATATGAAATTTATTTCATCGAAAACTCGCATGATATAAATTAATTTCTAAATTGAAAATAATATCTACTTATAATCAATTAATAACATTCATTTAAAAATAATAAAATAATGTTATATATGAAAAAAATTGCAATTGTTTTTGTAAAATTGTTTTATAAAAAAATAAAGATGAATAATAAAAAAATTTTCTTATTCATACAATAAAGTAAATATATAGAATAATATATACTTTCATTTATTATATTTATATTATATATATTATCTCATTCTTTCTTAATAAATTAATTATTATTATTAAATTAAATATTCATATAAAATTTTAATAACTTTAATAATTAGTTACACAAAATGTATTTTGCAAATATTGTATTTTGTAATAAAAAATAAAACATATTATCGTGTTACATAAAAAATCACGAAATATTTTAATAAAAATAAATATTAAAATATTAATGTTTATTTTATAAAAAAAAATTATATATAAAATTAAGTTAAAATTCTATTTAAAAAATATTATAAAAAATATAGTTTAAAAAAAAATAAAAGATATATAAAATAATCTTTAAAGAAGCTAAGAAAAAGAATTTTCATTTTTGATTAGATTTATTGAGATTATTTTAATACTAATTACAAAAATTTGTATTTAATAATAATAAAAATTGTTATTAGATATAAATAAATATTGCAATTATTTCTATTATATACTTTAAATATATAATGATATTAAAAATTATTATAAATTTGTTATAAATAAAAATGATTTTTTTAATATTCTTAATTCATTCTTCTATTTATTTTCTTAATACTAAATATTGCATTGTAATAGAATTGAAAAAATTAATCTTTTCTTTTTTATAAATAGTTTTTTTAATTACTTAAATTCCAAACTTTCTCTTATATAAGTATCTTATATCTATCTTATATCTATTTATCGATCTATATAAATATCTTACTATTTTCTTTTAAGTATAAAATTAACTGTATAGTTTACATCTAAGAAATATTATTCAATGCTTCGAAAAAATCAAATATAAAATAAAAAAAAATATTTTAATTATAATTTCTTGAAAAAAATACTATTGCACATAAAAGTGTTCAATAATTGAACACTTAAAGTAAATTTAGATATGTTTGATCAGAAAGGTCCAATCATTGCAACGCTTTGATCAACATTCGAGAATAGATGCAGTTTGCGAAAATTGTAGTACCAAAAAAAAGGCTAGTCTTAATTTAGATATTATATTGTCGATTTTAGACTTCTTTAATTTTTTCTTCTATTTAAATTTATTATTTCGAAAAATAAATTCGTATAATACTTGTGATAAAATCGTCTACATGTACACGTACGTATATTAAAATTTTCTATTTGCATTATATTGTATAAAATTGAATAAAATTTGATAAATAAATATTGCAATTTGCAATTGTATTTAATTAATATAATCTCATATTTCTAATCATATTAATTATTATAAATATATGTATATTTCAATCATTAATATTCTTTTATGATAAATATTATTTATGCATATTCACAAACGACACACCTAGTTTAATGTAAAAATATTTTATATTGCAAGTCATAATAATAATATATATATATATATATAAATTAACATTAAATTTTGTTATTTTATTAATTCTATCATATTTTAAATATCATTGAATTTAATTTCATTATTTGATTATAATATATTTTGATATTAATATTTTTTAAAATAATTGCAATATTTAAGTTAATTTTAAGAATTTTAACATTATATATTATATTTATTTACATGTATTACTAATTAAAAAATTAAAAATAATATATGTTATTATATTAATATTATTATATAATTATAAATTTAAAATAAATTAATAGCAGTTAATCATAATTTTTCATAAAATATATTATTATATTTTTAGGAAGTTTATATATAATATACTTTGATATAAATAAATATTCATGCCTTTTTGTTTGGGAAATTATACAAATTGTAATATGGAAGAATATGCTGTAGTATCTGATATATCAGTTGTAGATGTTTACGATATTGCATCTGAAATAGGAAAAGAATGTGAGAAACTTATAGATTCATATGGAGTAGAATCTGTAACTAATCTTATGCCAAAAGTAATACATGCATTAGAATTATTAGAAAATCTTGCAACCAAAAATGAACGTGAAAATACTACAGTTCAAGAATTACGTGCAAAGATTTCACAATTAGAAAATGATAAAATTGGAAAAGCTGAAGATAGGCAGAGATTTGAAAAGGTATTTTATTTATAAATATTTATAAATTTTATATTAATACATTAAATATTATTATATATTTATATATATGAAATTTGTTTAATTTTTTATCATTCAAAGATATTTACTTCTTATATAGGAATTGGAACAAATTGAAGAACATTGGCGTCAAGAATCTCGTGATTTAGTAGAAATGGTTACAAGATTACAAGAAGAAAATAGGCGACTATCAGAAGCTTTGCAGGAATCACGTAGTGATAGTCAGTACAGCAGTAAACAAAGTACTAACAATCTTTTCTCTACTAACACAATTCTAGAAATGTCCTTTATAAATCTATATTTATAATTCATCAATTAAATAATTATATATTAATAATAAATATATCAATAAATATATTTTTAGCTTTCACAGCTAGTCAAGAAGTTGATATTGCAGTATTGCAGCATTTAAGATCTATGATAGACAAACAAAGAGATCAAATTCGAGGCAGAGATAAAGAGCTGTTACAAAAAAATTCGGAAATAGAAAATGTAAATTGGTACTTATGTTCATATGTGTAATTTGTAATTATTATAATTAAGTATTACTTTTTTTTGAATATGATATGTATTATGATTCTTTTTTCTTGAATACGTTCGCGACATGTCCTATATGTAACACATTATATTTGTTATATAGTCGCTGATTATATGTTGAAAAAATGTTTCAAAATAAATATACTGTATTTCGCGAACGTGTCAAACATTAGTAGATTATTTTAATTTATTTTTATAATTTTTGAAGCTGACAGGACAAGTTGAGAAACTTGGAGTTGTTGGTCGAGAATTAAAACGAAAACAACGTCAAGCACAAATGCAAGCACGAGGTTTAGTAGAGGAAAGGGCAGATTTCTTAGCTCAATTGCAAGATCAAAATCGTGAATTGATAAATCTTCGAGCTCGACTTGGTTTAGCAAAAAAAGAAAATGAAGATTTAAGTAAATTGCAGGGTTGTCCAGATTTAACTAATAAGGCTGTGTATGATCTTGATGATCCAGATAGACCAAGATTTACTACTGCTGAATTAAAAGAAATTTTACATGAACGAAATGAATTGAAAGCTAGAGTATCAGATTTGGAAGATGAATTAGAACTATATCGACCAAAACCTGAAATGTACATATATATGCTATAATAATTTGTCTTTTTTTCTATATTAAAAATATAGTAAAAAATTTTTTAACATTATAGAATTTAATATTATAATTCAAATTATATTTTTTTTTTCACTATAGAGTTGAAGATGATAAAGATGCTCCTGTACAAGGTCCTCTTCCTTATGAACCAGATGATGCACCTTGGAAGAAGACATCTGAATCTGGAATTCGTAAATTGTAAGTATAAAAAAAAACTTAAAAAAAAAAAATAAAATACTTATAAAAATTCCAATTTTTAATAATTATATTTGCTTTCCAGTTTCCGGAAAATTTTCTCAGAATCTAGCAGTAGTTTTTTAGTTGGTAGTAGTCCACGTCGAAGTCTTTCTAGTTTATCAAAAATGGCTCTTTCTGGAAACAGTACATATGATGAATCTGTATAATGATTTTCAAACAAATGATTTTTAACATCTTATGAAAATTGATTGAACATAATATTTTTGCATTTATTGATTTTATTTTTTGATAATGATGCATAATCATAATTATTTGAATGAATTAAAAGTCTTTTTTTTTTTTTTTTTTTTTGAGTTATTGATTTGATAACAATTATTTGATTAACTAAAAGTAAGTTTTAAATATGATATGATTTAAACAATTAGATAGAAGTATAAATATTCATGTATGTGCAACACATTATCTACTATCTAAAATAATTTAGAATGAATTACATATATAAATATATAAATATATACATTTTTTTTTTAAATTGATGTGCCTCCAAAGTTAAAAAAGTTAATATAATAATGACTTATTATGTTTTTTTAGTAATATATAAAATATAAATGACAGTATAAAATTTTAGATAAAATTAATCTAACTTATTAAAAATACACTAAATCCTTTTTTTTTTTTCAATACAAAAAAATTTGATTTTATCATGTTGGAATTTAATAATTTGTTTTTATACTTATTTTATGCATTTTATTACTATTTTTATTATTAATTATTATTAATATTATTATTAGAAGTATACAAAATTTAAAAAAATACTAAATAAATAATATATTAAATGTATCTTTATCAATATAAAATATTTAATGTTATAGTAAATATAAAAAATTGTATGGTTATAATTATTTTTTAACTCTTTATATTTATAGATAGATTTATTTTTTTAACTTTTGTTTAAATTAGTTCAAAATTCACTAAAAATTTTTTAATTAAAATTTAAATATATTTGAACAATATTAAATGATATTGTGATATTATGTTTATTTTTTATAATTTGTGCTATGAAATATCAATGTCAAAATAAAAATAAGTTAATTAGAAACTGTAAATAGGATTTAAAAATTATAAACGTAGATATTTAATATAATATATAATGATACAATAAATAATAACAGTAGTGTTAATGAAAACATATGACAGTAAAAAGTAAAAATATATTTAAATTCAATTAATAAAATATAATAATATTAGTGACTTCTTATATAGATACATGAATTGAAATTATTAAAAAAAAGAAAAAAAAAAAAATCAAAATAATCGTCACTATCAATTTCAACATATTTGAAGAAAAACTTATAAAAAATTTAAAAATATTTTAAATTTGAAAGTTTTTATAATATGCATATTGTATGTTATATGAAAATATAATTATTATTAATCATTGAAAATATAATTATTAATTTTGTTACTATGAATTAACATTTAAATTTTTTAAATTTATTAAAATTTTTTTACAAAATTTTAATGTTTTTAAAATATTTTATTATTTTTCAAATATTATAATATAAAATTAAAGAATTTGTGAAATATGTATTTTTAAACAGTATAAACATACTTATAAATATTTTTAATTAAACAGCTTTAAATTTAACAAAATATATAAAATAAATTTAAAAAATTAAAAATATATTATAACTTTAGTTACAATAATAAAACATATTTGTAACTGAAGTTATATTTTGCAAAGTAAAAAATAATATATATTTATTTTATAACAAAATATATGTTCTGTTTAAATATAATTTATTAAAATCATTATATAATTCTAGTCCTATTACATGTGCCTACTACATAAATGTATTTATCTTGCATTTATTTAACAAGTTTTTTGAAATAATTGATAAATATGAATTTTGTCTAAAATGGAATACATTTTATTACAATTTATTATAATCAATAAATTTTTTGCAAAGTATAATAATTCAAAGTAATAATCTTCATAATATAAAAAGAAACCAAATAAAATTTCATATAGACATGTAAAGTTTTAAATAGAATATTAGAATATTATATTAAATATACTTATTGTTATAATAATAATGTATAATTTTTATGTAGAAAAATATTTATACATGTAACATATTATATTGTAATTAAACAAAAGCTTCATTTACACATAAATATAAATGAAATCTATGATTTATGATACATAAATAATGAAGGTTAATATTTGTATTTTCTACTGAAATATTATAGTAAATAAAGAAAAAATTCTTTTCAATAAATTTCGAAATATATATACATTGTAATATTATAAGAATTTAAATGTTAAAATAGATTTTAATAATCTGTATTAATTTTTTCTTGTATTGTTAAAGAATTAATAAAATATCATAAAATACAGAAATAAATAATAGTAATATAAAAAAAAAAAATATATAAGTGCCAAAGAAGATACAAATGTTTTATGTATTATTTGACAATTTATTTATATTCTATGAATAATTCTATTAATAAATTTATTAGGACAATTGTAATACTTTTCAATATACTATAATTGTTATTAACATGCAAGTTTGATGCCTTAATCTATAGAACTGAAACTTTATTGTAATCAGTTCTTTAAAAATAAATAGTTATGTTCTAAGAATTGTCGTTTTTCATAATTTCATATGAAATAATATATTTAGATATTACTAATAATTTGTATGTAATATTAAATTCCCTTAATAAAAATAATTAAGATTTTAAAAAATCAATATTAAAATCAAGTTTAATAATTTATAAAAAGAACTAATATGATTGAGGTAGTATTCTGATATTTCGAATATTTGGAAGAACTATTCTCAAAAAACAAATTTTAAAAATGATTTCTAGTTCTTTTTAAACAATTCGAGAAATAATTAATAACAAAAATTGATTTCAGGGTAAAAAATAAAAATCTATTAAAATGTGTCGAAGTGTTAAAAAAATGTTGATATAAGATTTAGCACCATTTAAAAGCCTACATTATTATCATATTATAATACAACATATATAAAATACTTTGCGCTTATTTTTTAGAACATAAAATAGAACAAATTAAAGATGCCTTTTTTGTTACAAAACTTACAAAATAAATTAATATTTATAAAATATGGAGTTGACTAGTATGTTATAAATCTACATTGTTCAAATTAGCTGCAGATCCAGTTGGCAAATCTGGCGGTACAAATTTACCGATAGGTTGTATAGCTTGTCTTTGTTCTGCTAATTTCCTCATTTCTTGTCTAAGTTTACTTAAAATAGCATGATTTGGCTGATTAACTGCAGCTTTACCTTGCAACAATGTGATTTCTTGTTCTAATTGTTTTTTTTCTTTAAAGGATTTTACACTTCGAGATCCATAAAGTCTTAATAAAGAACCCCAAGATTGAATGTGAGGATGCATAAGTTGCAAAATAGCTTGTGCTGCTCGTTGTTTACCATCTTTTTTATTGCGACATACCTAAAATCAGGTTTTATAAACATATTAGAATTGAAAATATTTATTATATAAGAGAAAAATAAAATGAAAATATATTAAAATAATTTTTTAATTTATCATTTTTTTTGAAGAAAATAAATAAAGATATCATAAAATTAATCATAAAAACTATAAATTTTAAAATTATGATTAAATTTACTTACAACAGTAGCTTCATGTTTGCCAACACGCATTGTAAATTCATTGCGTTGATGTTTTAATGTATTTACAGAATAATTAATATGCATATCACCTAGGCCATAATTTCGTTGAAGACAAGTAATTAAAATAGCATGTGGTGATGGTTCAGTTGTTTTAGCGCAAAATTCTGCGACTCGTGGATCAGTAATTGAGATTTCATCAAAAAAAGATAAATCTGCATCAGAATTTGCTCTAGATGCTTTAATCATTCGATTATTATTACCAGAAACTGTATCTCCACCATTGTCACCAGAAATTTTATCTCTCATTTGAGGAATTAAAATTTCAAGAGTTTTTCGAGCAGCATTAGCTTTTGCCTGTTTTTTGCTACTGCCAAAACCACTCCCATATTCCATATCATTTATACAAACAACTGCAGAGTATGGAGTTGCTGCATTTTCTGAAATTAATTATTTAATAATATAGATTATCTTTTTTTTTATTAATTTTTTTTTTACTATTCAAAGACATTTTAAATAAATTAGCAAATAAATAAATATATGCATATATGTATTTAATTATTTTTGTTTAACTCACCTAATTCTTTAAACTTATAAGTAGGTTGTTTTTTAAGTGCATGTTGCACATATTCATGAAGTATACAAACATAACTTTTGCCAGAGGGATTCATTATCCAATGTTTTGGTGGTCTTTGTCCAGTATTATCATCTCCAGCATTACCACTACTACTTCCTGCTAGACCAGAACTACTAACTGGAAATGTTATTAATTTTGTTCCATCAGGTAAAGTAGGTCGTTCAAGTTGTTTGCGATGTTTTTTATTTTTTGTGAATTTTCTTCTTGCTGACCATGATCTAGATAATTATAGAATAATTAAGATTTTTTATTAAAATATATTAAATATTATATATGTTAATTATATTATACATCATATTAGTACTTATTAAATATTATTTAACATATACTTACTGAAATCTCATTACTTTAATAGCTTTAAATCGAAATAATGATTGACAATAATTTCTTAGTTGTTCACTATCCAATGAATGTGCTGCTCGATTTTCTTGAATTGTTTCAATTTTTGCACTTGGAAGGCTACAAACTTCTGCATTTGGATCACGTTCTTTTTGTTTTTTTCTTTCTTCTTCTTCTTCATGAAGAGCTCTTTTATATTGAAGGCAAGGTATTGCACTAACAGGTACTTCATGTTTTCTCACACTGCCAGGTCCAAGAAAGTATGGTTTTGCAAGAGTACAAACTCTACTTTGCTTATGTAAATATAAAGGCATTCCACTATTATGTGTCACTTGTACCCAACCTTCTGGAAGTACGTCAAAGTGATTATGTCCAATTTCTGTAAAAAAAATAATATTATTATAAATTATATGTTATATTTTTCCTTTTGTAAATATCATTAAAAATGATAATGTTATCATAGTTTTTATACAAAATTAAGATTTTTTTTATATTAAACATTTATTAAAATACTTAATCTGCAAAGATACCTACCATCTAAGACAAGTTTTACTTTTTCTTCATATGGTACACTATCCTTCTTGTCTTTTCTTTTGCCTTTAAATTCTTCTGGTAAACCTAATAGTAGCACATAATACTTAACTAAAAAAATACTCTGCAGCTGCATGATCTATATAAGAAGTACAAAAATAAATAACAAATAATCTTTTTTTTTTTTTTTTCCTTTTTATAATTTTATCTCAGATATATGTAACTTTTATAATTTAAGTCTATTTTTATAAAATTTCATTATATATTGTATTTACTATAAGTTATTTAATATCTTTTATACTTTACCTCAGAAAATAATAAAAATATTTATTTCCATAATTGATTGGTCTGAAATATTAAAGTTTACCTTCTTCAAGCATGGCTTCAATTTCTTCATCAGGTACATCAGAATCCATACTTTCATTAGTATCAGAATCCATATCACAGCAGTTTTGATCTGGATGGCGTTCTAAGTCATCCAAAACATCAAACTGTCTTAAATCATCAGTAGCTGTAATACTGTCTGGATTAGACTCCATAATACAATCTTCAGTGGTAGAACCATTGTATACATTTATATCATCAGTAGATATAGTTTCTTCTTCCATTATATCACTACAATTACTTTTATCTGATATTCTACTTTGATTATCAGTATTTATTTCCAATATGCTTTGTTGATTATCCAAAACTGTTTCGTTTATGTTTTCACTTTGAGCCATAGTTGATTCAGGAATCTCTTCAGGAACTTCTTTATTAATCTCCATTATATGTACAAAGAATCTGCTAAAATACTGTAAGATCTAATTATTTGTAGTACATAAAATTTTAATTATAATAATCTTGACTAAATATTTAGCTCATTTGTATAATAATAAGCAAATTATCAATCATCTTTGTGTGCAGCAAAATTTATTATTTAAAATATTAAACACAATCTCTGTATATAATAACCCATGGATTAAATAATATTAAGCACGTTGTATGGCCACACCACTTTCACCAATGAGGCCAAAGTCCAATCAATTTGAAACCACTTTAAAAATGGCAACGAAAATTGGACATTTGCATTAGTGTTAGCAGTTTGGGGCCTATTATATATCCATGAGTACATATTGCACAAATAATACATTGTATTGTTAGAATATTGTAGAATGTAGTTGACACAGGTGGTTGCCTCCGAAACTAGACAGGAACAACATTGAAAAATTGAACCTGTTACTAGTCCGAATTATGCACTAATGGTAAAAAAATTAAATTTATTAAAGTAATAATGTGAAATATTCTTCTCATATTAAACTAAACAAATTATATAGAATTTTTATTTTTTTATTTATGTATATATTAATAATATATAATAATTTTAAAAAAATATATAAAATATTTATAAAAATATAATATAATATTATTATAAAGATATGTTAAGAAACATATAAAGTTCTAATTATATAAATTTTGTTATGGAATTTTTAATTTCATAATTCATATAAATTAAATGAATATATAATTTAAAAAAAACTTGTTTTAAATTAAATCATAAATAAGAAATTATTAAATGAATAATTATTTTATTATAATAATGCATAAAAAGCATAATATTTTAGAAATATCTAAAATTATTTTTTATATAATTAAAAAAATTAATTAAAAAAAAACAGATGATTTTCGTGTTTAATAAATCATATAAATCAATATTATGATACATCATCATTAATTTCATGTAGCTCCGTGAAAATACCTTTATTTATGTATATCTCAATATATATATTTCTGAAAATTATAAACACTGTAGTTCACTTTAATAATATAGAATTAGATATACAAATTATTTCAAATATTCTCGTTTACTGAAAATTTCTTAAAATTTGTAATTTTAGAAAAAAAATTTTTATAATAGTCTTATTTGGAACACATAATATTATAAGCACTTAATTATTTAAAATTAAAATAAAATTATATTCATTTTATTTATAATTTTAATTGTATTTCACGAAATAACACAATGGAATAGAAACTTTTATATGCTTTAACACTATCTTACGTTACATGCCTAGTTTGTGCTCTCGTTATATTTAATAATTTCTTTCTTCTCAATAGCGCTGATATCTCTTCTTATTCTGAATCGATAATGTCGCATGTGATACAAGAATGATAATGATGACTATACAATCTTTGATGACTATATAGACCATAGACAAGATATAGTAATAGATCTAATACTCAATGTATTTTTTGTCTTATGCCTAGAATCTTTTTATCATTATAATATCATTTTTAATATTACCAATTCAAAATAAGCTTATATGTGATAAAATATTGAAAAAAAAAATGTTTTAAATTTCATTATAAAATTATAAATGAAATAAAACAAATATTCTGTTATAGAATATTTTGTAGGCATAAATGAAATATTGCATTTTATACATACATTTATATAGATTATATTTATATAGTGATATAAATTATAAACTTGAAAATATAATATTTATTTTTTTTATATTAAAAATTAAAATGCATTCATGATTTAAATTTGAAACATTGAATTCATCATTGACTCATTAACATATTGCATTTATGATCATGTGACTAGAATGAATATATGACTAGAATGAAATAATAGAAAAAAAATAGACTTAAAAATTGTGGAATCAGTGTCATTTTTAAAATGTTTTAGATGAAACATAAAAATAAAATAAATAATAAAAGAAAGAAATAAAAATAAGTTAAAAACTGATTGTCAGCACCATCTTTTGTATTTTTTATACTTAAAATGGCATTGACATAAATTAAATATAAAAATGTCTATATCTATTATAAAAATAACTTCATCTATATAATTTTATCTAGTCTATATCTAGTTTATGGTATTGATTTTCAGTTCTTATTTTATCTTATTTTATTTTTGAAGAGATATTTTTGGTACTTAAAAAATATTCGTATCAATTCTTATTTTATTTTTCTTCTTCTTTCATTATTTATTCTCCTTGTTTATATAAAGTGTGCAAAATTTATGTTTAAAAGATAATTACGATATTTAACTTTATTATTTTTCCTATATTTCATTTATAATCTTATTCGAATTAAGTAATAAAAATATTTTGAAGTTTATTCTAATCTATAATATTATTTAATGTATAATATTATTTGATTATATTTTAATATTTTTTATATTAAATTGTAATAATTAATTTCACAGGATACTAAACATCTTTTTATATATTTTTTGCATTGCATTGTATTTTTCAAATCTTTAATTTTCAAATATTTTTCTTTAGTATAAGATTAGAAAATATTTTCATAGATTTTCGTAAACATGAATAAAAAACTAGTTAATTTTTATTATAAAAAATTAATTGAAATTTCATAAATTTCATTTTTTATAATATAATTAATTCAATTTTAATTTGAAAAATTATTCGCAAATTGATTATTAACATTCCAAAGATCTGCAGACCACGTATTAAAAATTATTGTTCTGAATAATATAAATAATGTATGAGTATAAAATAAATATATAATTCAAAAATTGAATTTAAATAAACTAAAATTTAAATTTCTCATATATATAATTAATTTTATTACATTTTTAAAATTATTTATAAATAATTACAGATCTTATAATTTTTCTTTTATTTAATATACATGAATACACTTAAAATCATTCTATGAAGAAAAGATATATAATTACATACATTTTTTTACAGGTACTATTTTTTTAATATTTATTTTTCAATCTTCTAAGCACATCAAAAACAAAAATCACTATTATTGCATGTAATTTTATTTTTTTAAAAACCAGACATAAAAATATTTAATTCAATCAGCCATATAATTTATATTTAAGTAGTAATATTCATAATTTTTCAAAAGTATATGTGTGTTTATATGTGGCTGTAAATTCTTTCATTTTATATATAGCACTTAAAATGTTTGTAGAAATATTTACAGTTCATATAATATTTAAATATCCTATATATACAAAGCATCAATAAATATTTAATATCTACATTGTTCATTAAATATTATTGACAAAATAATCATATTTAAATTTTGTTATTAGCATTATAAATTTTTATATGCATAAAATAAAAATTATTTTAAGATAAACAAATATTTACTGTGGATCTAATATTTAGTGATCTATTATAATATAATTTATCTAGAATAATTATGAGCAAAACTTTCTATTATTTTTTACTATAATACATGAAAATATTATAATAATTTAATTTGCTAAATAGAACATAAAATTTCTATTAATTGTATGAAATAACAATGATATGTAATATATATATTCAATTCATAAATTGTGAAATTAAAAAATGAAACTACATCTTTTGAACATTTGTTCAAAATATAACTATAGAATAGCTTAATATTTAATAACAAAATTGTTATTTTTGTTAATTATTTAATATTGTGAGGTAGTTATATGGAAATGAATATTTAATATAATATCCCTCTTTTTATTTGATTTTTATCTTGTGTAACTTAAGCTTAAATCCAAGCAATTCTGAAAGCACTCCTGAAAGAGCAGATAATAATACTACTTTTGTAATTGTATATAAATAAGGATTAGCTGATAAACCAGATATTTTAAATGGACATTCAAGTTCCTGAAAATATATACTGATTATTTAATTCATTCATTTTATAAATTCAATAATAAATTTTTATTATATTACCTTTATCAAATCTGCTGCTAATTTGAGTACATTATTTGCTACCATAAGTTCTTCTTTTTTATGTGGTTTTTGTTCTATTTGCAAATATAAATTAATCTAAAAAAAAAATCAAACAATATTTTGATTAAAAATAAAAAATACTTAAATTATACTTAAATCTATATATGATATAAAACAAAATTCATTTTATTAAAATTACCTGTTCAGTAATCAAAACAGAAAGATTTCTATATTTTTTATTAATTTTTGTACCCAATGTCATGAAACGTAATATAAATATTCCAAGAGAAAAACTCCAAAACAGTGCTTCAACGTTATATCGGGAATGCAAACTTTCAAGATCCTGTAATTCATAAATATTAATATTATATTTATATATAATATTATTATTTCATTTCAATATTTTTTATTCTTTTTTTTTTTTACCTTAATTAGTTCCAAGCTTACAAATGATAACAATAATAAGGTAACAATAAATACTGCTGATATTATTACATCTACAGAACGTTGCGGTCCTCTTCTCTATAATATGTAGTACATTTAAAATTAATTATTATTTATAAAAAATGTGGATTTCAATATTAAAGATATATTAAAAATATAAAAATAAAATCCTTTTTTTTATTTTACCTTTAAATAAGACCTAACGCTTAACCATAATTTTATATTGCGTACTTTATTTAATCGAAAATGCGGTAAATCAGATTTTCTGGCTCGTCTTGATGATGTCAAATGTGAAAATAATTTTGCATATAAGAGTCTTTGTTTGTAAGTACGTTCTGCAACTGCTAATAAAAAAAATAATAAAGAGGATAATATAAGTCTTTCAAAGGCTGATATAAGTACTACAGTACGTTCCCTGAAATTAACGATAATAATTATTTTTTTTCCATAAATATTTATTTTAATATTTTTTTTAATAATAATATATTTTATTATATATAAAATAATTTTTGTTATGTTTGATTTATTGATTATATATTAATTTATATAAATATATGTATATTTACCAAAGAGTTGTTCCAAATGCCAAATCTATAACTTTAGATAAAATATCGCTATATGTTTCCAAATTGACATAAGTTAAATCATTTGGTATTAAGGAACTAGTTACATTGCTACTATTGTCCATCCCAACATGATCGCTCAATCGTTTGATAGATGGTATTAAAGATAATACCACACTAAGCATTAGGCCTCCATAAAAGTAATTCATACTTTCAGGCATTGATTCTACTCTAGCAATAATAGCCGAACTGATGTCCAATACCGATAGTTCAGCCTTTTTTATATCACGTCGTGTCCATATAGTACATGAGACTAAAATATATAGAATTCTTTTTTATTAAATAATAGATTACATTTATTGTTAATTAATTTAAAATTTTTAAATTTTATATCTATATTATTATAATTTAATATATTACCACGATCATATGAAGCACAGTTAGAGCTAAGCATCATTGAAGGTGGTAATTCAAATTCCCAAGAAAAAGGATGTTCAACAAATTCTCCATAATTTTTATTAGTTTCACTATGTAGATCGGATTCTTCAAGTTCTGAACTATAAAAAATTTCAATTTTGAAATGAATTTTATTATTAAATTATATTAATTGATATAATAACATAATGTATATATTTTTACATAAATATTAACAAAAATTAATACTCATTATCTCATTTGTTTTGATTTTTTTTTTATTAAATAATAATCTTTTTTTTATTAAAACAAATTATTAAGCTATTTTGTACAATTTTATAATATATAAAATTTAAATAATAAATTTAATAATTTTAATTATAATTATAAATAATACAATTAAATTCTTGAATAAAAATAT